ATAAGTATTCAGCTCTGTTTTTGACCTAAAAAGTGATATATTGTTTGTATTTCTGTGCTTCCGAAAGGTTTTTGTCAATGTGTAAATGAATAAACAAATTTTGTTCAAGACATTATTTTGCTAATTATTCTCAAACGTTTTTAGAACTGAATATTAAAGAAGCAGGAGCAAGACTGAAACAAGTATGGTTCATTTGAGGCAACATGGAAATATGTTGAAATGTTCCCCCGTAGCCACATGTGTTCCTCGAAGTCAATGGCCATATACTTAGTTAAACTCAAGTGCTGGATAGTGGGAGAGGGTTGACAAAGTCTTAAGTTGCTCAATCGCTTCAGTGGACTTATAGAACATTTTGTTATGAAACTTGAGTGACATTTACGTATAGTAACGTACAAATTATAAGCCCCCACAATAAAATTATTTGGTGTGGGCGTATGTTATATGTGAGTAAACCAAATGTATTTCAACATTTAGAATAATCAGAAATGAGTGTTTTGTTTAAAGATAATTCGTGCATGAGCAATTAGAAACTTGAAGACAACAATATTTCAACCGATTTACGGTAAGAGTATAAACATAAAGCAAAAATATTTCGGTTGATATGAAGTAAAATATAAACATATAAATGTTAATTATTACTGTTACTAATGGTATAACATATTCTCATGGTTAACATACTGGGCTGCGTATGAGGAGGTATAAGGTTCGAGCCACAATATGCCTCTGAACACGTTCGCAATTTCAGCTGTCAGGACAATATAAGTGATAACCATTCTGGCTGTTCAATTAAGAAAAGTTTGCATAGGTGGTGACAGCTGCTGCTGATTTGTTGTCCTGTCTCTGGTCAACAGTTCTAAATCAAGAATGACAATACCCGTACTTTAAGGGTCTCTGACCTGGCCCTTTAACCCGTGCATTCGGTTGAAAACCCGAAATACCAGAGAAATCCAAAAATAAATCAGCATAAAACAATTATTAACATTATATGTACTTTGTGATCCCAGTCTCTTGTAGCACATGATGCATTTCTGTATTTTATTTTATTGTGTTTTAGCAAAAATATCTGAAGCTAATTTTTTGTTACAAGCTGAAAAACAGTTTAATAAATAATTATTGACCTTTCATACTTGCATTTCCTTTTCAAAACCTCGTCATCAAAAAAAAAAAAAGATTAATATAAGACGTTACTGAGGCTATGTATAAAATTTCAATGTTATTTCACTATTCTGGTAACTTATAAAGGCTTAGTCATCTGTTTTCAGTAAAATCAATATTTTTATTAACGCTTCTACTTGTCATATGATAAGAAATGCTGATACTAAAGACAATATATTTCAATTCCCCCTCAGAGACAACTACCATTAAATTTGCTGTTTATTGTCTACATACATTTTTTGTGGTGCTAGGCAAGATGCTGACTAGGTTGGAAAATCTGAGTATCTTCCCCATTAGAAAAAAAAAACAACAACAAAAAATACAATAAAACTCATAACAATGTGGTTTAATGAAGATTAATGGCTTTCACGAGGTCGTTATTAAATAAGACGGGAAAAAAATGCCGCCCGCTTAACACTATAAAATACAGTTAAGTAGTAGTTCCGCCTGCGAAGAATCTAGAGTACACTTCCTCATCACCTTAATTCTGAAACAAGGACTGTTTTAGGAGATGTTGTTGCTATAGCGACACCTACGTAAAATTGATAATTCCTTGAGACCCCCTCCTTTTTTTTGTATCTGTTTTTTTGCAATTATTAAGATTGTGTTTTTCTTTTATGATTTCATAATTGAATAATCATTATTTCCAGGTCCTTGAGCTATAATTTAATTTAATTATAATGACAAATGATGGTACGAAACCAGTAGTGACGTTAAACAGACGCCCTTCACGTCACAATACTTGTAAATGAGTGGTAGAAAATTCGTATTTATCCACGCCTACCCAGTTCAGTTGACTCTCTGCTGTGTCTGGAGGAACGACAGTATGTGTACTTAAATGGACAGCTATTATGTATGTAGTCTGGCGAAGTGTATTAACATTATAGTCTTAATTGTGTTGTCGAATTGTAATGTTACCGTGTATTTAAATTTGTAAAACATTAACTTTAAATTATGGTGTAGTAATACCTGTAATTTATAATTAATTTATTTGGTTTGTTTCTACTGTTTTTGGTTCTTAATTACATCTGCTATTTTATTAATATCTTGGAATTTCATTAAATTCCACTGGAACCATTTAACTTTTCTTGGTTTTAAATAATATCAAATTTATTTTTTATGCATTTGAATTATATTAAATTATATTGGTTATTTTAGTGTTTGGTTTTGGCCACACCCCCTCGGTGGCTAAATGTTAAGCTTGAGGGCTTATAATGCTAGAATTCAGGAATTCGGCTCCTGTGTGGGCACAGCTCGGATAGCCCATTCTATAGATTTTCGCTTAAAACAAAACACTTTTTATTTATGTTCAAAATTCTTTTTAATTGATCTACACTTAATTTCACTTATCGTCTTAGTTTTTGATTCTAATTATGTGGGTTGATTTTGTTTACTCCTAATAAACTGTATCAATTGTTAATGTGTTTAAAACCTTTTGACCTATTGATCTTTTAACCTCCTCAAAGCCGTTAATTTTTAATACCTTTAATTCTTAGTCACTTCCGTTATTTCACTTATTTTTTTGGGTTACGATTAAATTCGCTAATTCATTTGGCCTCACCTAGTGGCTAGGGTGCACGAGATCTGCGGGTCGCGAGATAGAAATCCATCGCCAATCATGCTTGCCTTTTAAACTAGGGGGGATTATAATGTGACGGTCAATCCGTAAAGAGTTCCTTTCCCACTTGAAAATTAGGAAAGGCGAGAGCACATATCCCCCGAGTAACTTTGCACAAAATTCATCGAATAAACTAATTCTTTTTTTTCTAAATTTCTGATACTTAATTCAGTACTTTCTATTTTAATTATATATACTAATTCTGTTTATTATTGAATATTTTTACTGCCTTTCATTCATAATAAACTTAAGTTATTGTCATTTTTGAATATCCTTTGGAAAACGTATGTTTAAATGTCTATATATATTTCTTAACTTGTTTACTAATTAAATGATCTTGCTTGATGAGTGATTGTATTTATGAACTTAAAACTAGTACTTGTTAATTCCATTCCTGGACATTAACTATGTTCACATTCCAGAGGGAAGCAAAATATATGTGGGAGGATTACCGACCAGAAGTCATGTCCCTGACTCAGTCTGTGGTGAATCTTTCTGTCTCTAGGGTCAAAACCTCGTTTTCCCGCATTCTGTTATGCGTGACCGTTGATTGATTAAAATATTGATGACGTTTCTTCTTATCATTCATACTGAGTTTGTTTCAAACGGCCACAGTTCAGTTCGTGTGCTTTAATGAATGTGCTAAATGTTCACACTTGCCTTGTGTAGAAACCTGCCGAGTTAATTTTGAAATGAACAGGAGTTCGATTTCATAGTTCACTTTCACGTTTTTTTTTCAGTACTCACCTAGACCTTTCACTGTTCACACTAAAGTTTTCCAAACGACATAAACTCAGTTCTTTTATCAAACAGACCGAGACCACCTCTTCTGGGGCTCTCAGTTCGGTTAGTTTGCCACCACTCGAACTCTGTTGTTCACACTGTTACAAACGAACCGAACCATAGTGAATACGAATAACAACAAAGAAAAAAAAACAGTGTGAACAGGCACTTAGTTAGCGCCTTCCAATTTTATTGATAATAACAATGGTTTGAAGTATCTTATAAGTCTCTCATTTCTCCATCATGTTTTAAGTTACTCGTAGAGCATGCGGTCATGTCGAGAATGACAAACTCGTTCCAAGAAATATGAAGTACGTGCATGCATAATTATTCTCAAACGTCTCTCTATGATAAAGAAAAAAATATGAAATATGTTGAGTTTGAGGCGGATCTTGGTCAACTTGTAATGGGTACTCTATTATATATAAGACTCAAAATTAGCAATTTTGAAATTTATATAATAGGCAGCAATAGATATGTGCGTTTTTGTTCATAGTTTTCATTACTATTTCAATTACCGTATTATAACTCGTGTTTCTTCAACAGTAAAAAATTTACTCATTGGTCTGACATTTTCGTATATGTATTTCGACGCACATAAAACAAAGCTCTCTCAATACAACTTCATCAGTATAGGTAATATTCAAGGGAATACGCAACTATAAAGTTAAGTTAGTGAAGTGTTATTTGTGTCCGATTTTGGTTAAACCCCAAATGTGTAAGATCATATCGAAGTCCATTTAACAAACCCCTGAGGCTCTAGAAAACCACATTGTTAATTTACTTATAAACTTCATTTTAATATTTTCAATTATCTTGCCACCTTATAAAAAATCTGAATAAAATAAAACATTTGGCAATGTCTTATGGAAGCTAGAAAAAAAAAGAAAACAGTGGAAACTATGTGCGTTTCTAGCTCGTGCTAACGAAGATTACACAGGTAAAGGACAATGAAAATTCCAATAATCTTCTGTGATATTCAGTTACACATTAAAACATCTTGTAAAGGCTATCCGCTTATGTTCTAAGATGGCAGTCCATATGAAGCTAGCCAAAATTCTTACGCTCAAAAAATTCTGCAATTTAGTGTAATGATTCAATTTAACCTTCTAAAATGGCAGTCAGTAAGGAGCTTGCCAAAGATCTCATGTTTAACAAGTTTTTACAGTTTAGAATGTTGTCCCACTTTAACGACGTTCCTATCATCTTCCAATTTAAGAACAGCCTTATTCGTGTTCCAGGTGATTTTATGCGTCTAACAGTAGACATTTTATTTCTTGAACTTAACTTTTTTATACCCTGCTGTGCAGTGAACAATAAAAGTAAGTACAATTTCAGGACGTTGATCAATTGTCAAAGAGTTTTATTTTGTTGAGCTTAGGGTACGAATACATAACTTGTTTGTGATGTATTTTTGAAAATTTCGTTCTCGTGATACACGAATCCTCTAAAATACGACTCCAGCTTCTGTGAATAAAGCTTGTACAGTATGCAAGATTGCCTACAGGCCTGTCAAATTAAAGAATAAAGTGTATCGTAATCATAATTCATACAATCTAAAAAGCGTAACGGCTTACAACAATAATTAAAATAACTCATCGGGAAGCGTGTGTTAGAATAGTAAATTAGGCAATCCAATGGTCATAAGGAGTTATAATAATAACTCTGACAGCCTGAAGGATTTTAATTATGACTTAGTAACACAAATGATACTAATGGTTATAGTCATGACTTAATTAACCCAAAGGATACAAAGGGCTGTGGCCATAATTTAGCTAACCCAATAGATACAATGGTTTATATTCACGATTGTACTAACTCAAAGGATACAAAGGGTTGTAGTCATGATTTAGCTAACCCAAATGATACAAAGGGTTATAGTCATGATTTAGCTAACCCAAATGATACAAAGGGTTATAGTCATGATTTAG